GAAGACAGAGAAACGAAAATGGTTTGTACTCAAGAATTTGACATGAAAATCCAAAGCTCGCCCGCCCAAACAAGATTGGAGAGCAAGAGAAACCGATTCCTCCGTTAAGCGAAAGAGGTAGCACCGAAAGGTGATAAGGAGGAGGAAAGATCTGTCAGAGTTGGGATGGAGGTGGTGTACCAGGGGACTTATAGAGTCGATGAACCTCATCTTGAAACTCCAAGCCGATGTTGAAGTCCAATCGTTCAGCCAGATCTGAGGAAGATCCCATGGCCAAACGCCGATCACCGAAAGATCACCGGCGGGAAGCAACATCGTGGTGGGGGAGGAGGGTGGGAGGGCTGGCGTAGGGGGAGGTGGGAGGGGGTCGCCAAGAGACTCTCATGTTTCTGAGACCCAATGAAAAAAAAAGTCAAGAAATTCGCCAAGGGGTTGACGGCCCCTCAGTGCCGACTAAGCTGTGGCTATGGCTGACTAGAATACCTGGACTCTGTCTTTGAACTGAGTCGCTCTGGACTTATGTAGCCAGCTCGCAGAGTATGATGCTTCCGAGTAGAAGGTTTTAGTGGATTGTAGTCACTTCTGGACTTAGTCTTTTGTATAGGGATGTAGTCGACTGCATGCGCTACAGACTTGGTCGTCGTGTAGGAGTCAATCCCATGCGCTTCTCAAGCGTAGGAGTAGGGGAATTAGTCGACCGTATCGCCACGAGCTTAGATGGTGTGTAGGACTAGTCGGTCCCGCGTACTTGAAGTCGCAGCTAGGTGAGGATCAAGACGTACGAGTCTATGTTGATAGGAAATAGCGCGATGACTATGTGTCAGGGTGCAACTTGTATTCATCGTAGAGATGAATGGTAGCGCGTTGGCCGACCTGTCAGTGCCTTAACCCAACATTTCAGGTTCAGTAAGCTAAAACAATGCCAAAACCTCAAATCAGCATATCTTGTTAATGTACCAATGTGTCCGTTGACGCACCTAAGTGATAGGAGTATGTTGCCAAATCATAATTGTGCACCCATTGCTGAAATGGAATTTAGGTTATGTTTGTTTGAGTTTACCTTTTGTTCTTTTGACTCAAAAGTTAGCTTTTGGCTTGTAAGTTGTTGGTTTTTTGTTGTAGGCTTTTATAATATATTTTTAGCTTCTCAATACACCACAACTAGAAAAGCTCTTCGAAACATGTTTTTCGGCTTTTAGTTTATCTTCTTAGAAGCCAGTTTTCTAACTTTTAAAAAGTGAGCTCAACAACTAGGTTGTTTGTTTCAGCTTCTAACTTCTGGCTGGCTAGCAAAAAGCTAAAACAAACAGGCTCTTTAATCGCAAAGTTCTCATTCCCTTCACGTCTGAACTAAAATAAGCTATCGCTATTCATTTTCCATAGCCTTCAGGATGTAAATTTTAAAGTAATCTATCGCGCTATTCATTTTCCATAGCCTTCAAGATGTAAATTTTGTTCCTACGCCCTCTCGGAGCCATATATGCATTACTTTCTAGGGAAACACTTGTTCCAAATTTTGAAACTTTGACTTGATGTACATAATGAAAGTATTAAAGTTAATATAAGTGGTTTGGACTTGATATCATGCACTTTCAAGTTTCTTTTAAATATATATTTTAATGAAAGTAGTCAAACCATAGTTTTAAAGGAAAGAGGGAGAGAGAGATCGTTGGCCAAAGTTGAAGTATTTTGTAACTCCTAAGGATACAGGCAATATCACTACTATAGAAAACACAATCACCGTCGTGGCTTTCACCAACGGTTATGAGACAACCGGCGGTGATACGTATCACCGCCAGCCGTAACCTAAAGGACCTCTTCTGGTCGACCAACCGGCGGTGATTAATGTTTTTACCGCCGGCCCGACGTATGACCAGGTGGTGAACGCAATGCTGGTCTTCACCACCGTGTCGTCCACCGAACCGGCGGTACAACTATTTTCACCGCCGGCTATTCATCCGATGCCGATGCTCCAAGATCTGGCAGAGATAATAAGTTTTCACCACCGGTGCCAAGATGGATGGGCGCGCCACCATCAGAGCCAGCGGTGAAGCAAACATTAAATTTGTTTCTTGTGATGTTTAATTTGTCACGGTTCGTGGCCCCGCATCGCCCAGCAGCCCGGCGGTGATTCGAAGTTTCACCGCCGGTTAGTTCTTACATGTGAATTATATAGTTCGGGTTGATTTATTTCTCTGGCACGTACGGTACGTTATGGTGGTGTTACAACACCCATCGCCTTTTCATACGGTGATGGTAGATGCTTGAAATATGTGCCATCCATTAGTGCGTATTGAATCCGGACCCTTTGTCTGGACTGAAGCCCTAATAAGGCTGGCCGACCGCCGCGGTGCCGCCACCTCCCGCACGGCCAGCGTATTGTTCCTCTCTCGCAATTTGTGTGAACCATTGCACGCCTTGCGTTGCGCCGCCGCTAGATCCAAAGGCAAGGATAATGCTTTCGCACTTCACTGATGGATCTTTGTTAGATTATTTTCCTCTTTAATGATCTCATTAGTAAGAAAACTCTTATCCTACTGCACACTGACGATTGCAGGCTCTTCAAAATGGAGGGGCCTCCAATAAGAGGAACGCAGTGGCAAGCCTCATAGACCATGTCGTTGTCGAGATCCTCTGCGGCCTCCCCACGCGCTCCTTGTGCTCCTGCAAATGTGTCTGTCGCTCTTGTAACTGCCTCATCTCGTACTACGACAACCGTATGGTGCTGTCCTAGACTGTGGCCGACTTCTTCTACGATAGTGAGAACGACAAGCGACACTTCACCAGCGTCACTGATGAACACCCCTCCTTGTCCTTCTTGCCCTTCAAAAACCAGCGGTGATGAAGTTCGACTATCAACGCCGACTTTTACCAACGGGGTCAAAACCGTCGGTGAAGAACTTTCTGTAGCAGTGTATATGGTATCAATTCATATTAATGATAGTACTTACCTCCGGTCAATAATACATGTACTCGCTTTAGCCCATGAAAATTGGAAATAACTTATGTTACCTCTCTAATTTTCATCTAAAACATCATGCATTTTTTTAGAGAGATTGTACAATACTTACTTGTATTAGGTCCTATTTAGAACCATTGTGCTAATAGTTAGCCTAATAATTAGCTCCAAGACATGTTTGGATATAAGGATTAATTACTAGCTAGCTAACAATTAATTAGCCAAAATTAGCTCTAGTGCATCTAAATATGAGGTTTAATATATGAGCTAAATTGTTAGCTAAGTATTCAACTAGTTGTTTGCCACCTAGTTAGCCAACCTTGGCTATTTAAGCTAATTTTTAGTCCAACTAATAATTAGCCCTACCCCATCAAACAGATATATCCGAACAGATCTAGCTAATAGTTTAATTAATTATTAGCTATATAAATACTCAACAAGTAACTACAATATAGTTGGATCAAACTAGTTAATAACAGCTAATATTAGTTATATATTGTTAGCTAGCTAATTATTAGCAACTAATAAATCCAAATAGGACCTTAGTCCTACCACAGTTCAACAGTTGTACACTTAACCTCCGTATCTAGAGTTGACACAAAGAATCAAAGTAAAAATTATCGCGCGACGTGCCGACGTGTCATCCTGTCAACTTGTCTACTTGTGCCCTTGTGCGGTGTGCTAGACTGTTACAGCTGATGTTCGGCTGGTGCTCATACGATCGTGGATTATTACTGCTGACTAATTTAGTGTGAAAGAAAAATATTATTCTAACTTATAATTCACGATCATTTACAACCAAACGAACAGGCTCGGTCTTCGATGACTGCTCTACAAGCCACGCGGCAGGACTGGAGGGCCTACAAGCCAGAGCCAGCCACTACCACCGGACAACCGGAGGGGCAATTCCGATCCCATGCACTTCATGGTCGACGGTCACCGTCAAGATCGCATCTAATGCTGGACCTGACGTCTCTCGAGAAGCTGCGTGGTTCGTCCGCTGCGGGGAGGTGGTGGGAGGTCGAGGTAGCGCTCCGGGTGTCTGACATCAACCACGAGTGGATGCTCGGGAGCTGTTCGATAGAATGCCTGACCGGACCGGCGACCGGCGACCGGCCACTTCCGGATGCTGACGGAGAAGGCGGCTATAGCGCACGCCAAGAGGCAAGGATAAGATGCGGCTGTTCCGGACTCCACCAAGGTACTTGTCCATTCCACGCCTCCTTTGTTTCTTTCTTGCTCGGCGGGCATGACTGTGCCTCGCTGTTATACTGCTAGTAACTACCAACTGTGATCTTATCTACTAGCTACGAGGATCCACAATTCAGCATTGCCCATACCTGATGAGAGGTAGCTTGTGCTCTTCGATTTGCTTGCAGGAAAAGTCTTCTTGGCGAGGTCAATCAAGTTGTGCTTGGTTGATAACCAACGGAGCAATGGTGTAACGGTTGCAGGGTTCGAATCGCGTCTGATTTGAAGCCGGATCGCCAACGTCGAGATCTCCACAAATCGAACTTACCGGCTACCTCTTGGAAGATCGGGCCTGTACTCATCAATACCATCCTCCAGTCTTTCCTTTCTCCCTCTTCTCACATGAAAATTGAGCATGCTTGGATGTAAAGATGCTCTAGTATTGCCCATGTCTGAACAAAGGTTAAAGAATTAAACTTATGCAGAATTCGTCCCACCAGCGCTCCAGCAGGCAACATTTTGAGGCGTAATGCAAACACCATAGATTATATGACAGAAAGGAAATCGAACAAATTAGTTCTGTAGGTAAGAAAGGATATATTGGCAACACAAATTCAAATGTTTAAAAGCAGCACTGCCACTATGCAATGTGTTGCACTTTGGAACCCCATTTCTGTCGAACTAGTTAGCTAATTGCAATGCATTACCAGCACATAGTAAAAAGCATAAAAATACATCATAAGTTCAGAGCATTGATACATAGGATTGTCAAACCTCTGCTTGTACCAGAAAGCTTCTTAAGTCTTGTCGCCATCATATGACTCACTAGGTTTCCATGTGGATATTGCATTCAGTATCCTTCCCTTCCATCCCAGTAGTAGCCATTGATCATCTTCGTTGATAACATAATCTTTGTGATATTTCCCACCATTTCTCTTATTACTTTCACAATGTCTTGATTCAGTGGGAGCTGCTCAAGGCCAGCATTCAGGTTTCTTGACTTCCATTTCTTATAATTCTCTGGCCTCTCAATCCTTTCAGATCCTTCACATGCTATGACATTGAGAAGTTGGCACTGAAAGATGCCCCTCTCTATGAACATTCTTGTCTCATTATCTCGTGGAACAGTTTTATCAAAGATATCAAATAATGCAGAGTAGTGGTACATGACTTCTTTAAAACGTGTTAAAAAGAAGGGGGTACCATATGATCCATTCTCTATTCCATGCACAAAAACTTTTGGCTTCATCATTCTAATTGTATTGAGAACCCTATTCCTTGCACTGTTTATGGATACTGTCTCATCACCCAGATTCTTCATTCGGTGTATGCAGTTGACTATCAGCACATCATCTTCCGCAATGTTGAGATCTTCTATACATATGGTTTCCCACTTTGATGATATTGCTTGATATTCAAAAGGCACATTGAACATGCTAGCATAATCAGCTAATCGCTGTCCCGTGTTCTGCTTATTCATTTGATTTGGTCGAAATCCTTGCTTTGGTAGCTCAATACCTGTGATCCAAACCTTAGGAGGCCCATCTTCCCTCTTTGCGAGTTGCTCAAACAGTGATGCCCATTGAAAACCAAAGTAAATGCCAAAATCGATAATGTGCACCTTAGATTTTCCCTTCGAGACATCAAGGATTGTCTTATTTGCGAAATAAAATGATGCCCTCGGTAAAGGATGTACCGCTAAAGTCAATTCGAATACCTTTAAAATGCCCACAGGATTGAAGATTTTAGTGATCAATTTGCGATACAGCTGACTCCCAGTTCCAGCTAATCGCACCTCAAGGCAGTCCACTAGACAAAATGCTAGCCTCTGGGTATCATCTCCAGTTATTGAGGAATGTTGTCTTATTATGTTCAGCATGTCGTTTGCTAAGGTATGGTTATTCACAGATACTGCTTGTGCACAATGGATAAGAATGGTTCTTAGATCCACCACCTCTTTCTTCTGTTGCTTCTTACCTCGTGTCTTCCGCCGAGCTGATGTTCTTCCTTGTTCATTCTGTGAATGTCCAGTTGATTTGTTTGTCATCATTTCTTGCAAAACAATAGCTTCATCCGTAGGTTTATGCTCTGAGAAGAGTAGAACCCTGTCAAACATCTCATCTCGGGTTGGCCCATTGAATGAAAAGGCAACTTGCTTGCTACTCCTTGCTTCTAACAAATAAGCAGCCTCCTATCGTGTATTATTTTCTGGTTTGGTGTAAAAACATAAGAAATTTACGATCTTCAAGCGAACTGTCGAACAGGCTGTCTTCAGCAATCTTCTCTGTGTGAGTAATTTCCACTGTTAACCACAGATGATGCATGCTTGCTCGTATCTGCAACATTTACCTGAAGTGACTGATTATCTCGGCTACGCTTTTCAGCAATCGAGAGGCCATCAATTTTCACACCAAGCTCCATGTTTCGTGTACCTTCAGTGGAACGTTTTGTCTCTTTGACTATGTCAGACAAACTCCATGGAGCTTCAAAAGCTTGCAGCAAGTTGTGATTAGAATGATTATTACTTGAGTCAATAGCAACAGAGCAGGTACTGCATGACAGCCTGGAAGACTTGTTGATGCTGTCATCGAGGTTATTCAGATGACCACAGCTACAAAGTGATGGTGACTCAGGATAAGCTGGATTATTTTGTCCAAGAATTCTATAGAAAGGCTCTTCCATAGCTCTAAGGGCGTGCTCTCCATGATGTAATTTTACCTTGTCATCATCGTCCTCGTCCATCAACAGCTTGTTTAAGTAGTTGATGGTTATATCTGAGTTGGTCCAACTGTTATTAGAAGAGTCTGCCACACTGGTTCCATACCAATCTGGTGCCGCATTGCTACTGAGGTCACAGAATTGAGGACCATCTATTGTACTCGAATAGGAGGTGCTCAATGTAATATGGTCCCTACTGCTAAAAGTATTTGATACAGGAGGATAATGATGCATGGATCTTGGTTGGTGCAAAAATGATTCCAAATCATTTGACTCATCGGCTGGATCAACGATGGCATAGAACCCAGAAGTAGCCGACATGTTGCTTTGGAAATCCTCAAAGTTAGAACTAGATTTGTCGTTGAACTCCATTGATGGGGTTCTTGATCCTTGCCAAAAGTCAGACAGTCCCTTGCAAGTCCCCTGTAAATAATGAACTTAATATGTAAAATGGAAACAGATAACAAACTATGTCTTATATCCTTGTACTCTAGTTTTTTTTTTATTATCAAATATAATTATCAGTAGTGACTACTATAATTCGTTAAAAATCTCTAGGAAGAGAAATTCTGAAAACATGCACTGGATCACATTAGTTACATACTTATATATAGTATATATATGATGCATGTAGACTATGGAGTATCAGTCTCCTAGCTAGTCAGAGCATTTGATTTTCAGGAATTTTTTAGGAGTGTAAAAGGCCCAATCCAAGCACAAAAATTAGGTTGAAGAGAATGAGCTTGCTAAAGTTTTTTTTCCTCTCAGAAGGGTTCAATCTTCAAACTTCTGAGTTCAAGGAGTAAATTAAGCAAAACTTTTTAAAAAATCAGGAAGAAGGCGGCAGGAACTCTGCTTTCAATTAAGCGCGTGTTTAGTTTTAGAAAGTTGGAATTTGGGGCTACTGTAGCACTTTTCGTTTTTATTTGGCAATTAGTATTCAATCATGGACTAATTAGGCTCAAAACGTTCATCTCGCAATTTCCCACCAAACTGTGCAATTAGTTTTTTTTTCGTCTACATTTAATGCTCCATGCATGGGCCGCAAACATTCGATGTGATAGGTACTGTAGCACTTTTTGGGAATTTGGAGTGGAACTGAACACGCGCTGACATAGAAAAGAGAAGAGTGTGTTAAATACAAGCACTAGCCGTGTCATCAAAGACAGGAGATCTAGAGAGGCACAACATACTCCACAGCCCGAAACACTGGTGGACAGCAGCAAGAGAAAATTTACGCAGGTGACCGGCCTGCCTATGAAAACTGAATTGACAGTTTAGGACAGTAACCAGCTAAGATGACACCTTTCAACTTTAATGCTACTCATCGTGCTTCACAATAAAGTAGCATATATTTGTCAAGAAAAGTAAAGTAAAAAGTCCCTGATAACCATCTTAATCACTGGTTCTTTCATCACTTATTCAATTTGGCACACAACCATTATGCTAGATGGCATTAATACAACATGGACTTGATCAAGAAATGGCTTGGAGATAACAGGGCCTTATTATACTTACCACCATTGTTTCCCTGCAGGGATATATAGCGCCTGATGGGATCAGCAGACCTGGAAATTGAATTCCAGACGTACGTGGAGACGGACCTGCTGTACGGTTGTGAGATATGAATGGAAGACTGATCGATCTTGCTGCCGTGAGCGGGTAGCTTCATTCAAGTACCACGAGGCAAGTCTTTTATAGGGAGGGTCTGGCTTCTGGCTGGGGCCTGCGATCAGCTAGCTCAGCTCACTGGTGCGAGGCAAGCGAGAGCGAGGCCTCGTTTAGATTGTAAATTTTTTTTAACCTGGACACTATAGCATGTTTTATTTGTATTTGACAAATTTTGTCCGATCATAGACTAACTAGCTCAAAAGATCCATCTCGTGATTTACAACCAAACTGTGTAATTAGTTATTTTTTTTACCTACATTTAATGCTCCATGCGTGCGTCCAAAAATTGATGTGATGGAGAGAGAGTGAAAAAACTTGGAATTTGGAGGTGATCTAAACAAGGCCCGAGTCAATTTGTCAGGTTGCGGTATGAGTTTGCTCAGGACTGGTTTAGTTCTCAAAAATTTTCACTCTAAACTATCATATCGAATCTTGCGGCACATGAATAGAGTATTAAATGTAGACGAAAAAAAACTAATTGCACAGTTTGGTTAGAAATCGCGAGACGAATGTTTTAAAACTAATTAGTCCATGATTAGTCATAAGTGCTACAGTAACTAACATGCGCTAATGATGGCTTAATTAGTCTTAATAAATTCGTCTCGTAGTTTCTAGACGAGCTATGTTATTAGTTTTTTTTATTAATATCCGAAAACCCCTTCCAACATCTTAAAATATTCGATGTAACACCTAGACATTTTCATTTCGTAAACTAAACACACCCTCGTGGTGGAGCTGACAAGGCTCCCCAACGTTGATATAGTACGGTTGAATTCGTCGTCGTCCTCCAGTGCCCTGTCAGGAAAGCTAGGGACGGAGGGGTCGATGCAGATGCTGCTTCAGAGGCAGCTATGCCTGGCACTGGCAGATGTGCCATCGCCGCTGGCGCTGGGGTTGTGCTCACAGTGGAGCCTCGGAGTTGCAGTCGGCTTGCCGGCGACGACAAGTTTGCTGCTAGCTACCTCCTCAAGTAAACCTTTCTTTGTGCACAATGGAAACCCAAAATACAATATCCATTTTATGTTTGGGCAGTGCTATAGACAAATGTTTCAATATCTATTTTTATCTTCTTTAACAACAAGACCCAAAAGAGAACCCTTTCTGTAAATGGGTCTTCAGAAGAAAGGATACTCAGATTTAGATTATGCCTCCCTTAGCACCTAAAATAGGTCTCATGTATAGGTAGGTACTCTATTATAGGCTGATATAGTGCTATTGGAGACCCATTTTATCTTTGGATGTCCTTATGATCACCTGTTGGAGACAGTCTAATTACATTACATACTGTCAGTTGGTGCAAAAGAAGAAGAAGGCGCTTTTGAGCCAGCTAATTTAATTTGCACGCGAATCTTGTACTAGTTTGGATAAGCAGCTTTGCTCACCTTAATTTGTGACTTCAACATGTACAATATCATGTTCTTTGGATTGAAAATCACGCGGCATTACACAAATTACTTTTATTAGCAGTTTATAGGGGTGAGTGTGCGTGTATGTTATGAACATCAACGTTGTACTGTATAATTTTCAAAAAAAAACAAATCGATTTTCAGTGAGGGTGGTTTTTTACCACCGGTGTAGTAGGGCAAGTAAAAGTAGGCTATTTCCATTTGTGGTTGGCTGTGCCGCCGGTAGAAGGCCGTACCACCGAAGCACCCAAGGTTCGTGCCGAAGTTTTGTGCAAAAATACACCCTCACTTGTGTTTATCGCTCCTTCCATTCTAAATTATAAGTTATTTTGGTTTTTATTTTTAATATGTATCTTAATATAGTGTGTCTTTAGATGTGTAGAAAAAGTTATGTCTCTAAAAGTTAGAATGATTTATAATTTGAAACAGAGAGAGTATGATTTAAATCCATAACCTCCTCTCGTATGTACCTTCATTAGGGAAGCAACTTATAGTACTTTCTCTTCCAAATTATAAGATATTATTGCTTTTCTAGATATATAGTTTTTGCTATGCATCAAAATAAACATTATGTCTAGATATATAGTAAAAGTTATACATCTAGAAAAAAATCAAAATATCTTATAATTTGAAAAGTATTTGCTAATAAGGTGCTGGTTTTTTAGGGGATAATAAGGTGCTAGTGGGAGAGACGAAAAAGACAGGTGCAACATACTGGAGGCCCGTGAATTGAGGGTTCAAAGATGGGCTTAATCAAGTACTTTAGTTTTCTAGATATTTATGCAAAAATTATATATTTAAATTTACTTATTGATAAATTTTTATATGTATTAAAATATTTCTCTACACTTTTTTGTATTTTGAAAAAAAACTTGGACTGCAGGGATAGCATGCCCCCCGAGCATTCGCATTAAGGTAGAGGACTTCTCACCTAGTCCGAAAAAACCCCCAAACCTCGTATCCCGTAGAGGACTGTTACCCTATGAGTGGGCTATTCAATTTGTTTTGTTTTGAATATGAATCCAAATTTATTTAAAAATATAAACTATACGTTTGAACTTTTCATATTTTAAAATTTAAAATTTTTGAATTGTTTGAACGAGCTTGGATGGGTAGATGATCAAAACTAGTTGACGGCCTTTTCATTTAAAATCATTGATGTCCAAAATTATGTTTAAAGTTCTCGTACTTTAAAATTCAAAGTTTTTAAGTTATTTGAATGGACTTGGATAGAGAAATAACCCGAATTATAGTTGTTGTAGATCTCGATGAAATAGATTATATTTTTAGAGAATTTTTGGTATACCAAGGTTTAATTTATGATTATTTTAAAACTTCTTTTTATGGTAAAAGTCCAATAAAGTGTAAATAAATATTTTAATACATATAAATATTTAAATAAGTAAATTTAAGTATACATATTTTTTTATAAATATATAAAAAACTAAAGTAATTGCTTAAGTCCATTTTAGCCCCTCAACTCTTGACTTTGTCTAACTTTGACACCTGAACTATCAAAACCATTCAATTTTGAACGCTGATGCTTAGAGAATTGTGAATCGAAACCTAGTTCTGAATCGAGCTCGGCCACGAGCGCAAGATCCATGAGGAGGGATCGGGAGCGAGAGACGGTGGCAGACGACAGGAGGGAGGCACGGGCGATGCAGCCGGCAGCATAAGGAGTAAGACAAGTGTGGGTTCGCAACAATTCGCGAACGTCCGGGTTCGAGCCTTAACGGTTCGAATACCCGTGACAATCCAGATTGAACGATCAATATCGCACCTTCACTAGATCCAATGGTTAGCAAGTTAACGGGCGATGGGGCCTTATCCATCGCCCGTACCTTGGCTCAGATTTAGTATAGTAGAGATTAGAGATACTCCGTGCAAGACTGTTCTGGCAATGCTATTAGGACAGTATTTCCAGACTTATGGCTGGACTTGGTTACCGACACTATTTATGTGAATGCGTAACGGATTTTCCTCTCACAACAATCAGCCGGAACAGTATTTTTGCTTATTTTTCAGTCCTGCCGAACAGGCCCTTCAGAGCATGCGCACGGATCTCCAGCTCCACCCAGGCTGCACACGGCTGAAAAGGCCGCCCTAATGTCTGAAATACTGGTAACCCTTTGATCTCATCTGGACAGTACATACGGAGGGTAAAGTCATGTGGTGACTTGCTAAAGCAAACTCACTAAATCTCCATATACAAATTCGTTTAAAAAAACCTCAGAAATAGATCCCTCTCGATTTTTCTAGATCCGCCCTGACCCACCCCATCATTTAAACTCC